ATATTTAATTATATTTTATATAAATATAAAATACAAAATAACAAACAAATAATCTGCATTATAAAAAAAGTATTTAAAATAATGTAAGATATTTCTGATATAGAGAATAATATTAACTTCGACCAATCTTCACAAACATAATTAAAGGACAGTAAAGCATTAAATGATGAAATTTAATATTTATTTGTTGGAAACAAAGCTGGAATGGACAATATCGATTAGGAAAAAATAAAATATATAATAAATGAGACAACTTAAGGATCTGATTTCTACAAAAAATAAAAATAAAAAAAGCAAGAATATGAATAAAAAATTTAAGAAATGTTATAAACTATTTCATAAATAAAGCAAAATACTTAAAAATATTAATAAATATAAAATGATTTATAGAAATAAATAATATAATTAGAAAAATAAAGAAAATTAGATAGAATATGGGTAAATTTTGATATGGATATGTTTTATGTAGCATGTGAATTAAAAGAAAAACCAGAATTATAGTTAAATAAAATATATATATATTTATATATATATATATATATATTTATTATTAATATATATATATATTTATACACACATATATATTACATAGCAATTCACCTGTTGCTGTAGGAGGTATGTCTATGATATGTACAGCTAATTATATAGCTAGAAAATATGGTGTTCGTTCTGCTATGCCCGGGTTTATAGCTAAAAAATTATGCCCTTAATTAATATTAATACCTTGTGATTAGGAAAAATATTAAAAATATTCTAAAATATTTAAAAATATACTTATATAATATGATCCAAATATGGAAGGTATGGGTTTAGATGAAGCAAATTTAGATTTAACAGATTATTTAAAAAATAATAATATAGAAAAAGATGAAGATATATATGATTTATGTTATCAAATTAGGTAAAAAATAAATAAAGAAACCGGACTTACATGTTCTTGTGGTATTGCAGCTAATAAAATGCTTGCAAAAGTATTTAAAATATAAAAATATAAATTTATATTCATATATATACAAATATTTATATATATATATAAATAAATATATATATATATATATATATATATATATATATATAATAAATTAGATTTGTTCAGATTAAAATAAACCTAATGGATAATTTTAATTAAAAAATAATGCTTAGGAAATAAAAGATTTTATAGGAAATTTATAAATTAGGAAAATACCTGGAATAGGAAATGTAACTGAATAAATATTGAAAGGAATAGGTATTGAAAAATGCTAAGATTTACTTAAAAAAACTGCTGATGTCAAAATTTCATTTAGTGAAAATACATATGAGTATTTGATTTTCAGTGCTTTGGGGATTGGTAGGAATGAACACACAGAAGAAAAGGAAAAATAGTCTATTTCTGTAAGTAGAACCTTTACTAGAATATAAGGTGAGGAAGAAATTAAAGAAAAAATATGTCTTTTGGCTTAATATTTAGCTGAAGATGTGTTATATGAAAATGTTTGGGGGAAGAATATAAGCGTGACTGTTAAAAACGCCAAGTTCGAGGTGAAATAGAAAAATAAAATGCTAGAAAGATATATATAATGTGAAAATGATATAAAAATAGAAGCTTTAAAGCTAATAAAAGAATTTAAAATTAATGAACAAATTAGACTTTTGGGAATTAAATTAGGCTCTTTAATTAGTTAATAAGAATATGAAAAATTATAAAATTAATCTATTAATAAATTTATTTATAAAAATAAAGAAAATTAAACATCAGAAAGTCAAGAAAATTAATAAAAAATAAATTAAGATTAAAAAATAGAAAATTAAGAAAATATTAATAATGAAAATATTTTAAAAAAAAATCATATTCCGAAAATATTTTAATGTCCCATATGTCTTTAATCATTGGATTCTTTCGGAAACGTTTCTTTTGTTAATTCACATATTAATTCTTGTTTAAAATAAGTAGAGGAAAATTAATAATAAGCATAATAAGGATAATAACACGTATAAAAAGGATAATAATAATAACAAGTACAAAAAGGATAATAATAATAATAAATATATAAAGGATAATAATAATAGATACATAAAGGATAATAGTAAATATAAGGTATTAAATAGGAAGAAATAAAACATAAAAAAGGAAAAAGTTCATCTGGAAAAAAGAAATCTGTATAAAATAGAAATTATTCTTTGGAAAAATTTTTAAAAAAAAACTGACTTTTTTTTTGAAATATATATATATATATTAATTTTTTTAAGTTGCTTATTATAAAAGTTTATTATTTTTTGTTTTTTTTTTTTAAAAAAAAAACTAATTTTAATTGAAATAATTATATCTAAAAAAATAAATAAAAATAAAAAAAATATATATAAAAAAATGGATAATTAAAATTAATTAGATAAAATGTTACCAACTTTATCAAAATTAATTAATTTTTTATTACTTTTAACTTTTTTTGGTTTAATTATGTTTCCTTTCCTTGGATATACTTTAGATTAAAAATAGTATTTTAAACATTTAATAAATTCTTTTTTTTTTATTTTATTGTTAAATAAAAAATATCAATAAGTGCAATTCATTTTTGGATTTTATCATTTATAGACTTAGGCTTATTTTTAGCATTATTAAAGTAAAATAATTAACAAAATAAAATATATATATATATAAATTTTAAACCTTACAAATAAATAAAAATAGTTTTAAAAAATTCGTTAAAGAAGGTAATACTATAGTTTAAAATCCTGAATAAACTGAAAAACCAATTCTTTAATAAAAAAACAAAAAGACAATTCCGAATTCAAACATATAATAGAAGAAATAAAAAAAATAATGAATTAAATATAAATATAATAAAATAAAATTATATAAAAAAATAAAATATTTTTTAATAATAATATAAATTAATAATAAATACTTTAAATAAATAATAATATATATTAATAAATACATATATATATATATAAATATTATTTATATATTTTTTTAAAAAATAAAAACATAACTGTATATATACATATATATATATTTTTATAAAGGAAAATATAATTTATTACAAAATTAAATGTATAAGAGAAACCATTCTTCCAATGTTAAATTCCCTCTATAAAAATAGAATACTCTTACTTCCGTAACCCGTACATTTCCCAAAAATACTATAACTATTGCTTAATCTGAATTACTACGAATGTAACAACAATGCTTAGACCAAGACGCGAATTAATATGAAAAAGATACTAAAAATCGTGAAAGGCAAGAGTTATATGAAAAGTCCAAACAAAGAGTAAAAAACTGGCCAAATACAATACATGCCTTCCGTAAAAAAAAAGATGAATGGAGATTTGAAAAATTTTAAAAAGAAGAAGAAGAAAGGCGAAAAATTGATTTAGAAGAGGCAAAATATCAATAAGAAGTCCGAAAGGATATTTTATTGAAGGCGAATAAATAAATTTATGACTGTAATGATAAAGTGAAGACTTTTTAATCAAAACTTCTCTTAGTAGATGCTTTATAGGAAAGGGAGGGTTAAATTGAATTGAAGAAATAAATTTAGGATGTAAATGATTTTAGAGAGGAAATGTATGTTTAATAATAAAAGGAAACTCTGAAACTGTAGGAATTGGAAGAAAATAAAAAACTATAGATTTTAAAATAAAAAAAAGCCTTAACATAGAAAATTCTAAAGGAATAACATGAGGAAATGAAAATAAAATTTATTAAGAAAATTCAAGATGAGAAAATTGAAGGGGAAATTATTAAATAAAAAGCCTTAGAAGCTTTAGCAAAGGAAAAATAAGAAGAAATTAATAGAAGAAATAAGATTATTTAGAATCAATTAGAAACTAAAAAAGGAAATGATTAATTAAAATAAATAAAAGAATAATTAAAGGAAAAAGAAAAACTCGAAGAAGAAAAAATATTATAATATGCCGAAAAAAAAGAAAAAATCATGGAAATGAGAAAAAAAAGGGCAGAAGTGAAATAAAAAGAAAAATAAGAAGAAAGATAAAAACTTATAGACGCCTAAGTTATAAGACTCCAGAAATTAAAAAACGAAGAAAACTCAAGAATCAATTAATAGATAAAAGAGACTGAGATAAAAGCTGATATGGCAGAATAGAAAAAACGAGAGGCAATTTAAGAATAGAAAAAAAGATTCGATGAAAGTATTAAATTAACTATTTTAAGGAAATAATAAATTGCTGATCAATAGAAAAAAGAAGATGTGGCTTATTAGAATTTCTGGTACAATAAAAATATAGAAATTTAATAAAAGGAAAAATAAGAAAAAATAGATTAAATTTAAAGATCTAAAGAATTATAAAACTTCCATTTAAATTAATTATAATTAAAATAAAAGAATAGAGAAGAAGAATTTGTTTAAGAAATAAATTAAGCTTAAAAAATTTAATAGATTATTGAAAACGAAGATTAGGACTTTTAAAACTGGGCACTATAATAAATTTAAATATATAAAAGTGAAGGAAAAAATATTAAACCATTATTGATGGAATTACAATCATATAAAAAAAGAACATGACGAAATTTATTTATATATATACATTTATTATTATTTTTTTAGTTATAATTTTTTCTTTAAAAAAAATACAAAAAATTTACAAATATATTATATAAATTTTTACTTGCTTTTATATATTTAATAAGTTTTATTTAAATTTATTATTTAATTATTATTATTAAAGTTTGAATTAAAGTTTCAAACATATATATATATATATATATATATATATATATATATATATATATATATATATATATATATATTCATATACATAATTTATTTAAAAAGTAATTAAATTGTTATTAATAACTAATACAAAAATATAAATAAATTAATTAAACTTTAAAAATATAAATATATTTATATATTATTATAATTTTAAAATTATATATAATATTATTTTTATTTTCAAAAGAAAAAATATAAATTAATATGAATAAAGAAAATATATTTATAGACTTACAATGTTAATCCGACTAATAATATAATCATTCTAAAATCTACCATTTAAAATAGACTCTAAAAGACTTTAAATATGACATTCAATAATATCTACCTTAATAGAGTCCTCCTTAATATACTCATGAATCCATATTTCCTTAAAAAACATCAAATACTGACGAATTAATAAAAGATTTAGTAGAATGTATTCGTTCATTAAAAAATTAATAATAATAATTACAAAAAAACAAAAAATTTAGTTATCAGTTGTAAAATTGCCAAGCATATAAATAAACATAAAGGAAGAAAAAAAAGATGAAACTATATAAATGTAAAAATTTGATTAAAATAATAATAATTACACATAAAAAAAATAATAAAAAATATAAAATTTTCAATAATCAATAAATAATTAAATTTAATAGAATTTAAAAACAAACAATGCTTTATAAAATAGACTTCCCAAAAACAAATATATTTTTGAAATGGAAAGTGATTTTTTATCCGAAGATTAATGTAATAATATAATGTTTATAATAATAATATTAAAAAATCCTTCATATACAAATTCTATTTAAAAAACAAAAATTAATAATAATGAAATATCTTTAAATACAGAAGTTTTATTAGATGATAATTCACTTGATGGATCTTTTGAATATCATAATATTATTTAAAAAATAGAAAAAAATCCATTATCTAACATTTCTTTATCGAGAAAGCCTTGCTTTTCAAAAGAAGAAGATAAATTTTTGAATAAAGTTAAATTTATTTAATGTTTTTTTAGATTCTATTTAAAGTTTAAAAAAGATAAATATTAAAAATATATATAAAAATCATCTAAAAATAGCGAAAATACGAAAATTAATTAGGAATTAACATTATCTCCTTTATTGATAAATAATTCAACGGAAAAAATTAATTTGTTCTAAAAATAAATTTGTAAAATTATTGTATGAACTTTATTTTTATAATATTAAATAAATATATGAAAGTTTATTTTTCTAAATTTTTTTTCGTTTCTCTGTTAAAATATTCTAAAAATATCTATTTATTTAATAAAATTATAATAAACATTTATATAATATTATTTTATTTATTTATTTTTAAAAGAAATGGTATATAAAAACTTTCATAAATTATTAAATATTTGATTTATTAAACTTATAATTTAAATTTAATATTAATATATAGACCTTCTATTAGAATAATATATAAATACAATTTAAAATAAAATAAAACAAAGCATATGATATAAATTTATTTAATTTAATTTAAAATATAATATAATATTAATAATAACATAAAAAGTGCTTTTTATAACAAATTAATAAATAATAACAAATACATATATATAAATATATATATATATATATACATACATATATTTTAAATAATAAAAAAATAAAATATTTTTTTATAATTAACAATAAATTAATCTAAAAAAAACAAAACAAAACAAAACAAAAATACATATATATATTTATTAAAAAATAAAAATGGCAGATAGTGATTAAGATAGTAACGAAGATCTCGAACAAAGAAAAAACAAGGAAAAACTAGCTCACGAAAATTATAAAATACCCACTAGTAACTTTAAAGCAGATATAGAAAAGAACTTTGATGAAATTCATAGTGGAGTTGAGAAATTAAACCATTAATTATTGAATTTATTTAAAAAAAAAGAAGATGATTTATGTAATATGTATAAACGAGAAATGACTAAAGCCTAGAAATAATTAAGAGAATTATAAGAACTTTCAAGTGAATCTGAATTAAATAAAAGGAAAATCGAAAAAAAGGAGAAATTATAATAAGAAAGAAAAAAATTTTTAGAAGATAGTATGAATTTTTCAAAAAAATGTGAGCATTTTTAATCAACATTATCGAAAGTTTTAAATACAACAAAAGATTTAGAAAGCGAGATTAATTTTTTGAATAAATAAATTGTTTTTGCCGATAAACATAATGGATAACTTCATTAGGAACTAGAAAATCTCCGTGAAGAAATTAAAAAAAATGATCCGGATATAAATCTTGAAAATCTCGAAGATGCTTTATCACTTCCTCCCACAAAATAAAAATTTAACCAAGAATTAAGCGAATTGAAAAATATTTCGAAAACGCTTTAAAATTCTTAATATTAAAATTCATAAGTTTCCAAAAGCTCATAAATAAATATTAATTAATAATAGGAAATTAAAAATAATTACTCTTAAATTTAATAATATAAATCTCCATATAGAAAATCTTAAATTATGAAAAGTTAAAATTTTTAATAAAATAATGAACTTGATTTATAAAAAGCTTAATAAGAACTTGAAAAATAAAAGGAAATTAATTAAAAACTTAACATTTTTTTAAATGACCCTTGCTTTTAAGAAACTGAATTCGAAAAAATATTCATGGAATGTGTAAATTCAGTAAAATAGAAAAAAAATCAATAAAATAATTCTACAGTATTGCCTTAAGTAAAAGGTAAATAAGACTCAATAGTTATAAATAATAATACATAATAAGTTATTAATAATGAATCAACACTTGATTTTACAACTATTTCAGAACTAGATTTAAATGAGTTTAGTAAAAGATAAATTTTAGAAGAGTTTTTATCTAGAGAAGAGATAAAAAAATAATCTATATAATATTATTTTTAGTGAATAATAAATTGATAATGATAATTAATAAAAATAATTGAATAAAAAAAAAAAATAAATAAAAAGTTAGTTTTTTTATTTTAATTATATATATATATTTATAAATATATATATATATATATATATTTAAATATATACTTTTATTTATTTAATATAAGTTATATTTTCTAAATTAATAAATATAATTGTTTTTACTAATTAAAATATTTTTATCATATTAAACAAAATAAAACTAACTTTTTAACAGTTTATTTTATATTTATATTTACATATTATTTTATTCTTTTTTTAAACAATTTTTTTTATAACTTTTTTTTAAATTTTTATTTTATATTTTATTTAATATACATTTAAAATAAATATAATTTAATATTTTCCATATAATAAACATTATATCTTTCCATATTAAAAATATATATTAAATATTAAACAATATTCGAATATTTATAATTATTTTTTTATTTCTTTAATTTGAATAAAACCTTCTTTGTATATATATTAAAATTATATTTAAAAATTATTATTTTTTTTAATACAAATAATTACTAACTTAATATATTTCATCCTTTATAAAAATTATTCATTATAAAATCAATTTCTTTTTAAACATAATTTAACTTAAAGATTTTTTTTATTTCATAAATTCTAAAAACACTATCACAAACCAAACAAAAAACAAAATATTCGATAATAAATTTATATATTAAAACTTATTTTTATACTACTAATAATAAAAATTGATAACTTCATTCAGAAATTAAAATTAGAAGAAATCATTTTTTAAAAAAAAAAATTGTTTAAATCTCTTTTAACTGCTATCATATATATATTACTCCCATCGGAACAAATAAAGTTTTTATCAATAAACAGTTAACAAATATCCCTTTATATCTATTATATATTAATAATTTTTTTTAATATTAGTTCAATTATTTTCTGTACAATCTTAGGTTAATTGAAATTTCCTTGGATGTAAACAAGATCATTTTTTTAATACTAACTTCGATATTAATATTTAATTATTAATATTACTTTAAATTTATAATTTAATAGATTATTTATATCATCAGAATCTTTTTAACTGCAAATAATATTTTTTAATAAGACATATTTACTATATAAGTATAGAAATAATAATTATAATTTAAAAATATTTTTGAATTTTCTTAATTTGTATAGATTTATTTTCTTTTTTTTTATAGTCACATTAATTTTTTTCCTTTTTTGTTTTTAAAACGAATATATTATTACCAATATAAAAGTTTGAAAATTACTAAAGTAAATTATAAAAAATAAAATATTAAAATTATTTATTAATAGATAAAATATTTTATATGAAATCTATATAATATATATATTCTTTTATTTTAAAATAGAATTAAGTATTTTATTATAAAAAAATCTATTAATTATATATTTTAATTTTTAAAAAAAATAACAAAGTTTTAATTAAAAAAATAATAATATATATATATATATATATATATATATATATAAATACACATATATTTACTTATATATATGTGAGTTTATTTATATTTATATTTTTTATATTTTTTTAAAAAATAAAATAATTAAAATTAAAACAAAAAAATTAATAAAAAATAAGGCGATTTAAATATATTATATATAGCCTTTTTTTTAATAATTTTATTACTTAAAAATTAAAATATAAAAATAATAAAAAAAATTAATTCCATAAAGTAATATATATTTTTCAAATATTTATATTATTATCTTTATTAGTATTATTATCATAATTGTTAATATTATTATTATCTTATATTATTATTATTATTATTATTATTATTATTATTATTATTATTATTATTTGTATTATTATTATTATTTGTATTATTATTAATATTAATATTTAATATAGATATATCTTATTTAATTATATTTTATAATTCTTCTAACATAAAAAGTATATTATTTTTTTCATTTAAATCTAGATTTTCTTTATTAAATATAATGTTATTGAATTCTATTTTTTATTTAGAAGAATTATCACTTTTATCACTAAATTCTGTAGTATTTTCTATTAAATTATTTTATAACTTTTCTTTTTTTTCTTCAATTTACTAAAAACATTCAAAACTTCTTAAGTCTTAAATTTTACAAAAATTAAAATTTTCTTATTATTTTTAAACAGATTTCTGACTAGGAGACAAAAAAAAACCTCCGAAATTTTAAATATTTGTTGGAGAGCTTGTAGTTGTTTAAGAAAAATTTATTTTGCTGTTATTATTGAAATTAAATTCCTCAGTAAAAGACTCTTTGATTTAATTAATCATTTGTTTTAATAATTAATTTCCAATCTATTATTTTTACTGGTTTTATTATTAAATAATCTTCAATGTTAGTTAATCTATAAATTATTTTTAGCTATTAAATTTATTCAAGTATTTTTTTTTAATTTCATCAATTTACTTATTTAATTCATTATTTTTAACATTTTATTAAAAAACTTATTATTATAATTATTTAATTTATATATTTTTCAAATTTATTTCTTATTTACACTGAAAATTCTCCTTCTCAAAATAATTTATATCAATAAATTTGCTTTTAGGTAAATATTTATTACAAAAATTAGATATTGATAAATTTAAAACTTCAATAAGAATATTTCTTTCAATTAAATTTATATTATTCTTTAAATTATTTTTAAATAAAGAAAAGACTATCTATTCAAATTAACTAAACTAATTATATATATATATATATATATATATATATATATATATTATATATATTTATATAATTTTAATTTAAATTTTTACGGATTTAGATAGAAAAATATGATTCATAAAATTTATTTAAGCTTCAAAAGTTAAATAATTAACAAAAATTGAAATTGTAAATTTATAATATTTTTAAGAAAGTAAATTTATTTATTCTTCATTTAAATTTTTAAAATTCTAAAAATTTTCTTTGATATTTTTTTTTATTTTTTTCATATAATCGTTTTCAAAAATATATCCTGGAACGATATATTTATAATAATTTATTATTAATTTATATGCAGTAGATTCTTTACATATTATTATCATTAAACAAATTAAATTTATAGTCTCTTAAGATATTATTAAACTATTTATTTATAATTTTAAACAAGATGCTACATTTTAAATGGACTTTATTAATATTTTTTTATCAATTTACATATTTTCAAATATATCATTTATGCTAAAATTTAAAAGTTCAATTGAATTTTCGTTAAAATTTATAACATTTATATTTGCTTTATTTAAAATACTTTAATATTCTTTATCATTATCTTCATAACTAATTTATAAGTTAAGAATTTTAATCCAATTTTTACTTATATTTGACTCTTTTCCAAAATTAAAATAATTCTAGTTTTTTTATTAATTTAAATGTATTATTTTTATTACATTATTTATAGTATTTTTAACAGATTATTTTTCTTCAATACATTTTATGCATATTCTTCTTTTTTTATTTTAGTTTTTTATCGATCCTTTTATCTTTTTTTTGTTTTTTTAATAATTAAATAAATAAAAATACAAAAGCTTTTATTTGAGCACAATCAAAACATACTGTCTAAAAACATCTTTTACAAAAGAAAGATTTTCGAAAAATACCAAAAGATATTTGACATATTTCGCATTAACTAACCTTAATTATTTAGTCACTTAAACAAATATTTTATAAAGTTCTTTTCATAAAAATACAAAAGTATGATTTCTATATATTTAAAATAATATGTAAAAAAAAGAGTTTAAGTAAGAATATAAATATATATTTATTTATATATATATATATATATATTATTCATATAAATTTATTTTATTATAATTTAAATAATCTCTTTATTAAATTTTTTATATAAATATTTATGTTATTTTTATAATTTAAATATATATTTATTTAAAAATAATAAATTAATTATTTTTTATCATAATAATACAAATTTTTTTTATCCTTCATTTTATAAATATTAATCTAAATCTGCTCTATACCACTAATACATATCTGAAAACAAATAAATCATTAAATTTTATAAAAAATCTAATATTGTAATTTTTTTATCTTTATATTTATTTAAATTAACTAATATACATTTATCAAAATTATTTAGAATCTCAAAATTTGTAATAATTTTAGTTTTTCCTTATTTTTCTATAGCATAGTGTTCATCTAAATACATATAATTTACATAATTTAATAAATTACATAGATTTTCTAAACTTTGATCCCCACAATTTTTTTTAAAGAAATTTTTAACAAAAATATCACAATTTTCATAATCTTTTCTCAAAAAATAAATTAAAGCCTAATACCCAAAAAATTATTAATAATCTTTATGAATTTCAATTCCCTTTTTAAAAACTGCTAAAGCCTAATCTCTTTTTCCTCTAAAAATAGACGTAATTCCTTTCCAAGTTCTACTTAAAATACATTTCTCATCTTAATCTAAAATTTCCTGAAAATAATTTTAAGCTTCATCATATTCTTTTAGATAAAAACTACTTCTTCCAATTAAAAGAGTGCACTCTTTTTTAAAATCACCCATTTTTACTTCTTTTTTATATTATTCTAATACTACAAATCCATATTTTTGAGCATCTGCAAAATATCTTTTGTTAAAATAAATACGCGCAATTTTCAAAAAAAGCATAGGATTAATTTTATTCATTTATGTGCAAAAAAGATATTATTCTAAAGCTTTATTTTCTTCTTTTCTTTATATAAAAATATCACCTTTTAGTTCATATAATTCTCCATCATATTCATTTATTTTTAAACCTTTATCTATGCATTTTAAAGCTTCTGTTTAGTTATTTTTCTTTATAAAAAGCTTTGCCTAACATTTTTAATATTGGTAACTATTTTCAGAAAATAACCTCTTTATTTCAATTAAAAGATAATCTAATTCCTTAAATTATTATGTTTAGAGAAAATACTCATGTTTTAAAAGTAAATATTGATGGTTTTATGTATAATTTTTGTTATCTAAATAATTTATTAAAGGAAGAATATTCTCAGAATCATATTTTTGTTGTTTTATTAAGGCCTAAAATTTCATTAAAGAATTATTTTCGTTATTTGGGTTTTAATCACATAATTAAATTGCCTCATTGAAATATTGGAAGTCGATATAACTTTATAAAATCTCTTATTCATTAGGCGGTTTATGATTAATTTTGACTTATTACATTTTTTTTTTTATATATAAATAATTTTTAAGTTTTTATTTTTATTTTTTAAAAAAAAAATATTTTTAAAAAATTATAATTAATATTAAATATTGTTTCTTTATTTATTAAATGTATATATTTTATATTAATATTAATATAAATAAACTAATTTTTATTTAATTTAATTTAAATTAAATAATATATTAATTTATATTATTATTATTGATTTTAATTGATAGCTTATTTATTAAAAAATAAAACACATTTTTTAATTATAAAATATTATTTGTATTTCTTTAATAAACAATAATATTATTTTTTTTTTTTTAATATTTTAATAAATAAGCTAAATAAAATATGTTTATTTTTTTTTAATGAAAAAACTTAAGAAAAAGTAAAAAAAATTATTTTAAATATAATAAATTAGATTAATAATGTGATTATTAAAATAATAATGTAATAATTATTTTTATTTTATATAACTAATTGACATATATTTTTTTTTACATAATAGCTTATATTTTATTTTAATTATTAAAATCTATTTTTTAATATAAAAAAACACATAAAAAAAAATGATTTTAAATTTATAAAATAATAACAAAAAAAAAATTTTAAAATACGAAAAAATCCAAAATCAAATAAAAAATTTTTAAAATTCAAAACAAAATATAAATATATATTAGCCTAAACTAACCTAAAATAAAAACCAAGAAATAAAATTTTTGAGTATTTCCCCATTAAAAACCTAAAACTTAGAAAACCTAATATAATTCATATAAACAAAAGAATAAAAAAGTAACTTTTTTAAAACCTAAATATTACGAAAAAACAGTTGTAATTGTAATAATTGTGGTTAAAAAACAAAAAAATAATAAATAATTGATTTTTTATTTCCATTTTATAAGCACAAAAATATCATAAAAAGAAGGGCTTTTAAAGCATTTTAAAAATCTGCACATATAATAAATGAAATAAATAGATTTTTAAAATTTTAATCATTATAAAAAATATAAGAATTAAGAAACAAATCAAATATAACCCTTAAATCTAATAAGAGTTTAAATAAAAATAAAATAAAAATAAAAATTAATAATTAAAATCATTTATTTACTAAAAAAAAAGAACTATCATATAGTTCTTAAAGATGTAAATAAGAATATTATTTAAATTCTTTTAAAATTAAGAAAGAATAATATATAAGTAATTAAAGTCACACAAAAGAATTATAATATTTAAGTTAATCAATTAGTCGTATGTAATTTACATATTAATTTATGTAAATTTATATAAAATATTTAGATTTACTTTTTATGATTAATAGAGTTTACAATAAACTTAATAAAATATAATTCCAAGTTTAAATTATCTTAAATAATCAAATATAATAATAGATAATATTAATCAAGATTTTCTTTAATCAGTTACTCTTAAGTACTTTAAAATATAAATATTTTAAAATTTATACTATATTAAGTTATATAAATTCTTAAAATGAATGTTTAAAATTAGAATAAAAATAATAATAAGTAGAAAATAAAGAATCTTAATTTTTATTAAAACCTTAAAAAATAATTGGGAAAGAAAGCTATTCTGTATTATAAAGAATTTAAAAATAAAATACATTTTTAGATAAGCTTATTTTAAATAAAAATTAAAATATAAGCCAATAAAATAATTAATAATTAAGATAAAATTATTTTTTATAAAATATATAGATAAATAATAAACTTTCTTAATAAAAAAATATATAAACTGAATTAATGAATAAAAGGTAAATTAAAATAAAATAATGTTATTTTATTTTTTATAGTTAAAAAAATAAAGTTAATAATTCTTTAAAATAATTTAAAATAAAATTATTTACTATATATCAGAATAATTCTCTTAATAAAAAATCAAGAATAATTAATTAATATATTTATAAAAATAGTACAAATAAATGATATATTATTCAAAAAAAAATAAATATATATATATATATATATATATATATATATATATATATAATTCAATTATTAATATAAATTAAACTATTTTATAGATAAAAACATTTATTTATAAAAAAATATATTTATAATATATTAAATTAAATTATTCTAATAAAATTTATAAAAATAATCGTTTAAATAATAAAATTTCAAATAAAAAAAAATAAATTAAAAATATATTTTTAAATAAAAAAATTCAATTAAAACAAAAATGCAATAAACAAATTCACAAGAATACCCAATATTAGTAACAATAAGAGTACGTCCCCAAGCCGAAACATAAAAGAAAAATTCTATAAAAATCCTAGACGAAAAAAACATAGTAATACAAAACAACGACTAAACACATTAATTTAAATTTTCAAAAATCTTCAAACAATCAAATTCTCAATTAGAAATTTTCCAAAGCATATGCTAACCAATACTATTTCACGCAATATAAGGATAAAATGCGTCATTTTTAGTATATGGATAAACAGGAACTGGAAAAACACATACAATGGGTTTTCATTCAAATAACTATTTATAAGAACCTGGAATAATATAACATTCAATAAAATTTTTATTTGATTATTTTTAAAAATAAAAATAAGTATGGTAATAACATTTATAAATATATATTTATTTATAAATATATATATATATATATAAATATATATATATATATATATATATATATATATGCAAATATATTTAAATTTAAAAGGGAAATTAATTTAAGTTTTATGCAAATTTATATAGAAGAGATATTTGATTTACTCAATCCTGATGGTTAAAAATTACAAATAAGGGAAGATACAGAAAGTAATGAAGTTTATGTTCAGAACTTAATAACTGTTCCTGTTAAAAACCAAGAATAAGCTTTAAAATTAATAGAAGCAGGTCTTTAGTATAGAATGTAGGGTTCTTAGAATATTAATTCTCTTTCTAGTAGATCTCATACTATTTTAAATATTACTATTTAATAGAAAATAACCTATAATGAATATTTAGTTTCAAATATTGCTTTTGTAGATTTAGCTGGATCTGAAAGAATAAAAAAATCTTAATCTACGTATAATTATATTTTTATAGATATAAATAAATTACAATTATTTTAATTTTTTAGAGGAATAAGAATGGAGGAAGCTAAAAAAATAAATAGCTCTTTAAGTGCTTTAAGTAGTGTAATTTCTCAATTATATAAATAATAATCTTATATAGATTATAGAAGTTCAAAATTAACTCGTATATTATAAAATTGTTTAAATAATTAAAGCAAAATTGCTTTAATTGCAACTTTGGAACCTTCAGAAGAAAATAGTTTTGAAAGTTATAGTACTTTATTATTTGCTTCAAGATGTCAGGATATTTAATAATTACCTTCACAAAGTTTAAGTAATATTTATTAAATTGGAAATAAATAAGATATGGAAATTAAAGAATTAAAAGATAAAATATTATATTATTAAATAAGTGAAGATAAATAAAACTAAAAAGATAATTGTAAAAACGAATGTATAAAAATAGCTAAAAATTTATAATTTGTAAATAATATATAAATAAATAAATATTATAATTTAAAATTTTTATTATTTAATTTAATATATTACTAAATAGGAATAACAAAATATAGAACAACTTTCAAATAAAATTGGTAATAATAATAATTTTTTTTAAGAATTTGAAAATTAATTAAAAATATCGTAAGTAAATATATATATATATATATATATATATATATATATATATATATATATATATAATATACT